GGGACACCTAGCGACCTGTACCTCCGAGCGGGCCCTTTCGTACATAGTCTTGAGTCGGCACGAGGTTCGCGGCAGGGGGACCCGCTCGGCCCTTTTCTTTTTGCGTTCACGCAGCAGCAGGTGATGGAGTCGGTGATTAGAGAGTTCAGGGACATACTTTTCCTCAGTTATGCGGACGATACCTATATTCTGGGACCAACGGCTAGGATCTTAGAGGCTTTTGGGGTGCTGCGGGAGCGGTTGGAGTGGGTGGGGCTGGAGGTGCAGGCGCACAAGTGCCGGTTTTGGGAGCGCGAAGGCGGGGATGTGGAGCGGGCACTGCCACTGGGGATGCAGCGGATGGAGGAGGCTCTCACTGTGGTGGGCGTACCTATCGGGGATGAGGATTGGGAGGTGGCCCGATTACGGGAGCGGCTCCGACAGTTGCAGGGGCCATTGCCATGGCTCCCCCTGCTCGACCACCCCCAGATGGCTTCACATCTCCTTGCCATTGCAGTTTCAGCACGGCCGATGTACCTGGCCCAAACGATGCCGCCGCGTCCGGAGGTGGTGGAGGCCTTTAGGGATTGGGACAGCTGTCTGGAGGATTGCTTTGAGCAGCTTTTCCCACCTGGCACTTGGGAGCAGGACCCCGACCGGTCTAGGCGCGCGCGCATGCAGCTGCATCTTCCCGTGCGACTCGGAGGGTTTGGGATCAGGGCGGCGGCCTCTTTGAGCCCGTTGTCCTATGTTTGTGGGTGGGCGCAGGCCGCACATGATGTTGCACAGTTGGGGGTGGCGGGGGAAGAGGCGATGTTTGCAGAGTACCTCACCACCTCGGGAGGGGCGGAGTTTCTTGATCCTTGGTTTGCCAAGGCTATTGAGCAGCTGCCAGCGACTATACGCCAGGAGATGCCGGGCTTACCTCTGTGTGCAGCGGCTCCTCCTCTTCGACTTTTCCAGGCGCGGCAGCGGCAGTTGGCTGTAGAGGAGCTCCAGACACTGCGCCGCTCGGCTCGTGACGATGCCACCCTGGCCCGTTTCACATCCCTTCAGGGCCCGGGGGCTGGTGCATGGGTTTCGGCGGTCTCGGCTCACTCAGATCTCACATTCACTGCGGCGGAGTGGGGCATTGCTGCTGCTATACGGCTCGGGCTCCCAATTCAGCAGCTGCAGGTTGCGGGGAGGTGTGTTTGTGGCACAGCGTATGTTGACCCAGCAGACCCGCATCATGCCTTGAGATGCAAGCACCAGCACGGTCCATCTCGGGTGCATGATGAGGTGAAATTTGCAGTGGCGAGGATCTCTAAGGCGTCAGGGGGGGTGGTGACGATGGAGGATAGCGTGGTGCTGCCGGGGAAGCGGGTTGACGTGGCGGTGCGACGACCAATGGCCGGGGAGGCTCACGCTCTAGAGATCAGCGTCGCGGACCCGCTATCGCTGTCTCCATCTCTGCTAGGACAGTGCAGTCGTTCTATTGGTGTGGCGGCAAGGGAGTGGGAGCGTCGCAAAACGAGTGATTACGCGCCTCTGCTTGCACGCAACCGGGGCTTGCAGTTCACCCCTTTGATAGTAGAGACGTGGGGGTGTCTCGGCGGGCGTTTCCGGCGGTGGCTTCGACGACAGGGGGATGCACACGTGGGGCTAGCCGTGTCACGGGGGGCTTGTCGGGAGGATGACTTTTTGTTTTCGGCTTATCTTTTGGGGTCTCTGAAGGCGCTCATTGGGGTAGCGTTACAACGGGCGCAAGCTCGTGTCATTCTGCTTCGAGCGGCGTCTTCTATGGGGGGGATGAATGTGGACTTGGTGGATCGGGAGAAGGACGACATCGAGAAGGAGGGTGGGGCTCTTTGGGTGGAGGCCCCGTATATGGTGGATGCGTAAATGTGAAATGGGGTGTGGGATGAGGTGTATTGATAGGGTGTCCTGAATGGGTGTTCGGTTTGGGTATTTTGATGGGGTTTTTTAAGGGTGTAGCGTTTGATGTTTTTGTAGCTCTTGTCATGTCACCGTCGCGTCATGCCGTGTGGTCAAAATAAAAAACGCTAGCTTTTGCGGTCAACTAAACCAGTAGTGTGCGAACCTTCCCGAGGTGATCCTAGGCAAGATCAATTTTTGATCGTAACAAATGTTCCCGCCAAAATCCTCGCTCCTGCAGCTGCCCGATGCTTCCGTTCCGACGGTCTAGATGCTGCCTAACTGTACGCAACTCTTCGTGTTACTTGGACATTTCACCTTCGTACTCTCTTCTGCATGCCCATTTATTGCTGCTGGCATGAATGCACAATCGTTTTTTTTCTCTCGCATTTCCCTATTCGTAACAAGAGGTTCCATGTTGATGCATGGGCGAGTGCCTTCGGGTCCAAGGCTATTTCATAGTTGGCTGGTCCGCCCTGAACCTGCGGACTGGCAGGATTCTGGCAGGAAAGGGAAATTCCTCACACATACAGTAGTCCCAAAGCGAGTCTAAGTCTGGATACAGTATCACGGTTCTGTGTCAGGATTTGGTGAGCATTCAATGCCGCATTTATGACTGCGAATTAGCTTCACCACCTCGCCCCTTCATCTTGGGGCTCGCGCGCTCTCATTTGTCACGGCTGAATTGCCGTAGACCAACAGAGATGCCACGCGTACGCCGCACCTCAGATTGCATTGGCGTGGAGGTTTTTCGTTGCTGCAAAATAGTGTACACCCTTTCGCACGACCTTCTTACTGTACCGACGGAAGTACAGGCTACACCCAAGCCTTACGGGTGAAGCCACTCGAGGTAACACATGTTCACCGACGCTAAAACCCCTGATCCCTTTACAGACCAAAACATCGCTATCTACAACGTAACACAACTTTCTTCCCCACCTTGGGTAGAAATGTACATTTGATAGTATCTTCTTGGGTGCGTTGCGGTCACAAAAAGCGTCCGGGTAACTACACCCACCTATTCGTTTGATGCACCCGCGTTTGTGCCACCAGCTCGGTACGTTCACATAGAAGGTTGGGAGCGATGCGTTTATGTCACATAGAATCGATTTACACGCGTGATCAGTTCAGCATTAAACTACTAAACGTTGAAGAAAATTGGTGGCAGAGCACTACAGTCACACGCATTTGCGCTAAAGACGATGCCAAATTTATTAGTTATGATCAGTTCATGCCGGCCCACAGTTGCAAAAACGTATTTATAGCCACATTTTGGGAGCAAGGGACGGCAATACGCAGGGAAATGTGACTCGCAGACGTTAAAAGCACCGAGCAAAAATGACAAGCACCTCCGACCGAAACGCGTTCGGTGAGATAAACGAATGATTGGGTGTACACTTGTTTGGTGGAGATCGTGAATGTTGTGATTCCGCATGACTTGGCAACTGGAGATATACTTCTCTGTTCACGGTCAATCTCGAAAAGATTTGCTGCAAAAACGCTAGACAGCTAGCAAATACTACTGTATCCTCCCTCCCCCTTTGCTGGTTTGCTCTTTTGTGGCTGTTCATTGCACCGCACACCTTTTCCTGCGACATGCTCCCAGCAGGGTCCAGAGGCTTTTTGTGGTGACCTCAGAGTAGCACAAATGGAGGCAGGTCATTTGGTTTGCATGTCCGTTCTTCTTGCCCGCTTTTCTGAGGCATCACAACGTGGACGAGACGAGACCCATCGCTGCCCGAAGCCGGATGAGGTGAGTGGCTCCACTTACATCCGCGCTGGTAGTTGTATTCAACACTGTTCTTTACATGTGCATCCCACTACAGTGCACTACAGTGGGTTTGGTCTTTGAACTCGATGGCACAAGATTCCCATCTCTTTTTGGTCCAACGAGGTGGCGGGAAGGACAGGCTGAGTGGTTTGGGGTGGAGGGAGTTAAAGTTAAAGGTTTATTTCTTGTCGTAACCAATTGGGGTGGGGGGAGTGTACAGAGAGTCAAGAAGAGCGTCAATCTATTTTCCCGGAGTTCGAAACTTCTCCACCGTGTCAGGGGTTTCACCGCGATAACCATTGTTTTCTATATACCACTTGCCTGTCTTGTACAGTCCATGCTCTTCGGTCTGGAACACGAAATCCGGGAGGCAATGCAAGTGTCCATCAATGGCTACAAGTTCCGCTCAATTTCCCACCAGATTAGATTTAGATTCTATGAAAGTAAGGACCTCAAAACACGTCAGGTTTCCCTCCATCCATGTGCTCCACTACTGTACACTTGCCATCACTTCTGTCTTGGGCTCCCAGTGTATGACACGCACCGACCTGCGCTTGTACCAATCACTGTTCAACAACCCCCTCTCCCCCAGAGAGATACAGACCAGACCAGCAACATCCACCACACCACAGAGCAAGGACAGCCGTCTTTTCGGGCAACGTAAAGCCTGCATTCGCCCTATTGGGCCCAGGCAAAGCACCACAACGCAACATACTCGCACAACGCGAGATGCTTGGATGGTTCAGCGTGCAGTGTGTGTGAGTGAGAGAGACCGGAAGAGCCGCACAAAGCGCCTCATTGAGCCTGCCTTGGCGCCGGCGTCCAACTCAGCACAAGGTGACACCCTTTCGTTCACACAGAGGAATCACACGGTCTCAACTTGCGGGCCGGATTCAACCAATCTGGCCAAAGTTGCGTTGGGTTGGTTGGTTGGGTTGGGATGAATCAACTGTACTGTTCAGTAATGCTCACCGTAGTCCAGTGCCTCACCAAGTGTACACATATATTAATCTCCGCGTTGTTCCCAACGCGACTTCGTAATGTACTTGCATGCGATCGAATCATCTGAAACAGATGATATAGCTGACTTACCCGCACGAACACGTTCACGAACTGAGGGCAGCCAGACGACTCTTGACAAGAAACACTACTGTACTAGTAGCAGCAGCTGTGAGCGATACCATTGCTAGGAGCTTTTATCACTACTAATACCTCGAGTGGGAGCTAAGTTCATCTGCTGCAGCTCGACACGTTGAATCGAGTACAGCTCCGCCTCCTATTCCGCCTCCCCGTTACTTCGTTGTCGTGACATCACCGAAGAGTTCACTACGTCATGGCCACATTTCATGAATCTTCGTCAAATTCTGTCACTACGCGCCGTAGCGCGGTGGACGCAGCAGAGCGACCCGCCGCGATCCTCAACGCGCGGCTTTGTCAGCAAGTTTTCCGCGCGAAGGGCCTGACGCAGGAGGATTACGTAAAGCTGGCCGCAGCGAGGCGGCTACGTGGGAATCATGCCGCTGTCACCAGCGACGGAGGCGCTACAGCCGCCATTGCGACCGTGACGGACTCTGATTACGAGTCGGGAACGGTAGCCGCAAACTCCGATGGCTCCGCTGCCGCCGCCGCTTCACGTTTGCTTCTACAACAGCGCCGCCATTCCGTCGAGGCGTGCTTCCGCACCATTAAGTTCCAGCCGCGGATGTCGCTGCTCTCCGCGACGACGACCGCCGAGGCTTCCGCCGCCGCCGCTGCTGCCGCTGCTGACGAAGACAGGATCGAGGAGACAGACGCGGAATCCCCCAGGAGCAGCAACGGTGACTTTATTGTTACAAGCACTGCTGCAAGTACTAATAGCCTCAGCTGCCTGCTCGACAAGCTACCCGACGATGTTTTAATCAATATCCTCGCCGCGCTTGGCTCCGCGCGACATGTGGCAGCGGCCGGCGCGGTCTGCCGTCGATGGCACCGCCTCGTGCCGCTCGTCCCCTCCCTCACCTTCGCCCGCCTCTCGCTCCCTCCTGCGAAAATCGAAGAGGTGGTATCGCGTATGGTGATGCGCTCGCACGGCCTGTCGTCTCTCCACGTGGAGACCGTGCATTGCGGCGGGAGTCACGACAGCGTCAGCGGCGCCAGCAGCGCGCATTCACGCGAGTTCATCGTCGAGGCGTGGGCCCGCCACGCTGGCAGCTCCCTCCGCCAAGTGACCTTCACGCAGCAGAAGGCTGTCACCGCCGCCGGATCTTCCACCGCGTCTTCCGCTGGCGGCTCCGCCGTCCCCAGCTGCACGGTTTACGCGGGCGGTCCGGACTTGAGCTGCCATCTGCAGCATCTCGCGTCGCATTGCCCAAACCTCTCTTCTATGCGCCTCGGTTCTTTCTCCCTCCCGCCCCATTTCCTCCGCGGGAACTCCGCGTTCCCCCACCTGCGAGCGCTTTCGATCGAATGGACCAACCTGGCGGGCTCCACGCTCCAATCGCTACTCGACGCGTGTCCCAATCTCCGCCACCTCTCCATCTTCATGGCGGCAGGTCTCACCGCGCAAGCCGCCTCATATTCCGCTGGCCACTACGCTGCGCTTCAAGCCGCGGCGGCGGGACACCCCGCGGGGTTGTGCTTGCGCCTGCCCGCGCGATTGGAGTCCATCGAACTCGCGTACCTGCGTGTCTCCGCCGTCACGCTTATCTGTAGCGAGGCTGACTGTACCGCGGACAAGGGCGTGCGCCGCGCTGGCGGCGGTGGCGTCGGGGGCGGCCTCCGCGAGGTGTCGATTCGAGACATGTTCCTCACCGCGCTCTCCCTCCCCAACGCGCGCGCGCTCGCGTCGCTCTCCGTCGCCACGGCCTCCGCGCTGCGCCTCTCCGCGCCCGCTTCCGCCGCCCTCTCGTCGCTCGAGGTCCGCGCGGGAAGCGTCCACTGGCCGTCGCTCGAGTCGCTCGTCGCGGGCGCAGGCGCGTCACTCAAGCACCTCGCGCTGGATCTCTTCACCGTCGAGTGCTGCGGCTCCGGCGCTCCGCGCAGCGGCGCGGCGACCAATATCCCGCGGGACGCGACGCGTGGCGGTCTTGACGCGACGCGGGGAGTCACAGCCGCCACTACCGGCGCGGGAAGCGGGGGTCTCGATCTGCTGAACCTGAATTGGCTTACTAGCCATTGCCCTAATCTCTCCTCGCTCTCCCTGGGTCCGCTTCCTTGGGAATGCCTGATTCGCGGTGGCTGTCTCTCTGCTCCTGAATGTTCGCCCAGCTCAGGTCCAGACGCGGGAGGTTCGGTGGAGGCTCGGGTGACGCTGGGTCGGGTCATGAACCCGGTTGATGTGGACGCTTGGCCGAGCCAGCTGGAGAATCTTTCAGTGAAGCTTCGGGGAAGGAGCGGGGCTACACTACTTTGGATCGGCACGTTTATGCGGCAGTGTGCGGGTAGTTTGAAGAGTGTGAAGGTGGTTTGTTTAGAGGATGAGGATGAGGATGACGAGGAGGAGGAAGAGGAAGAGGACGAGGAATGGGAGGATGATGAGGAGGAAGTCAATGAGGATTGGAGTGATTATGGAAGCGAGAGAGAGGAGGATGACGACCAGTTTCCAGAGGGAATTGAGTCTGAGCACGAGGGATCCGAGGAAGAGTGGGACGGGGGGGAAAGCGAGGGGCATTCGGAGGTGTATGAGGAGGAGTGGGGAGAGCTGCACATGAGCAGCCGGAATGTCGCGTATCAAAGTGACGAAGAATGGGACTCTGAATGCGAGGAGGAAGAGGGAGACGAGCACTCGAACAACCACAGCGATCAGCACGAGGCTCGCTGTCAGATGCAGAGGCACCAATGCCGGCAGCAGCAATGCAGCCACCTGCCAGAGCTGCAAAGAGCACTGTGCGCCGTGCGCGGCCGTGGCGGTGGCAGTGGTGTTGGCAGTAGCAGTGGGAGCATCAGCTCCCATGCAAGCACCACTCGTGATAACAGCAGTTTCAACCACACCAGCAGTGGCGTATCTTCTAACACCATGACTACCTGTACCATACCGACTTCCAGATATCGAAACTCTCCTGTGGGAAATCGTACGGTCAGTGACACCAGACAGAGGTTGATTGCAGCGCGGGCAGCATTCTCATCGGCCCTGGATGCCCTTCAAAGAGCGTTCCCACATGTAGATATGATTACGCCATGCTCCTAAGTGTAACTTTCACACCATTTGTTTATTCTTTGGTTGGTACCCGTATGCTTGTTCTATACTCCTAGTAACACTTCATACCGGTATGTACAAGATTTGGCTTTCCTCTAGATAAAGTTTTACTTGTATGAGACCCCAGGGCCCCCCCCCCCCCCCCGGCCCTGCCCCTCCCCCCCTCCCCCCCCCCCCCCCCTCCCCCTTTCCCCTCTCCCCCTCCCACCTTGTAAAGAAGGTCACATTCGAAATAAGAACAGAGACCTTTGTTCAAACAGGCGAAGTGTTACACGCTCCGCAACGCTTTTGCAACGTCTTCGCAATGTCTGTTACGAATAGTGGAAAATGAATGAATTACTGTGCACTCCTGACCGCAGCAATCGAAGCATCCACTACCGAGGATGAAGGCGAAGAGGCGGAAGTAACACGAAGGGACGTACAGTTACGAAACGATTTGGACCGTCGGGCAGACGGCATCAGGCAGCAGCAGTGGCGAGGATTCTGCCCGAACGGTTTCGTAACTTTCTGGAGTCGCACGGTCGGATTTTGCTGTAATAAGGGAATGCGCCCCTTAGAGTACATGGCTTGCTATGTCGTTTCGTATTCATGTACTCTTATTTATATCCTTGTATTTGCGTGTTTTAAAACCGAAATGCAAAATAGTGAACCCAAACCCAACTTGAAAGAGCGCATGGACGAGTTTGCCGGGCGAAACAAATTTTGGACCGGACTGACAAGTTTGTCCCGTTTCAAACGCTGCGGACGTGCAAATCCAACACCTTTGATTGGTTCCCGCAAAAAAAAAAAAACATTCTGGGGATGTGTGGCGTCGCATTTCTCATTTCTCATTTCGCACGACAATTGCATAGGCGATCGTTTCAGTCTATCCAAGCGATTTGGGCCCAGCTCATGTTTCAAGTTGGGATGGGGTGAACTACTACCATTTTTGCGTCGCTAGTTATACGGTAAGTAGCTAGGTTGGGCATAGGCTATGTCTGGACTGTTGCCCTCGTTATCTCGACATGTATTAGTCAGAATGTCCGTCCCGTCGCTCACGTGATCTCCTCTCGCCTCCCTTACCCACGCGATCACTTCTCCTTCCCCATAGCCCTCCTATTCGGCCGTCCAGTCACCCGCCCATTCTGCCGTCCCGTCGTCCTCCCGTTCCGTTCCGTCGTCGTCGCCCTTCCATGGCCCATACCGTCGCCCCTCCCGTTCATCCATCCCGTCGCCCAACCCGTAGCGCATCCTCTCTCCCATCCCGTCGTTCCCCTCGTCGCCCTCGCCAACGCCCCGAAACTCCCTCCCGTCGCGCATCCTCTCTCCCATCCCGTCGCTCCCCTCGTCGCCCTCGCCAACGCCCCGAAACTCCCTCCCGTCGCGCATCCTCTCTCCCATCCCGTCGCTCCCCTCGTCGCCCTCGCCAACGCCCCAAAACTCCCTCCCGTCGCCCTTCCTCTCTCCCATCCCGTCGCTCCCCTCGTCGCCCTCGCCAACGCCCCGAAACTCCCTCCCCTCGCCCTTCCTCTCTCTCCGTCACCCTTGCTCTCTCTCCGTCGCCCTTGCTCTCTCTCCGTCGCCCTTGCTCTCTCTCTGTCGCCCTTGCTTTCTCTCCGTCGCCCTTGCTCTCTCTCCGTCGCCCTTTCTCTCGCCCGTCGCCCGTTCTCAATCTTGTTGCCCTTTCTCTCTCCCGTTGCCCGTTCTCTCTCCCGTTGCCCTTTCTCTCTCCCGTTGCCCGTTCTCTCTCCGTTGCCCTTGCTCTCTCCCGTTTCCTATCCTCTCTCCCCTCCTCTCACGTTGCCCTCGATGCAGTCGTCGCCTTTCCTCTCTCCCCTCCCATCACCCACCTCGGCGCTTTCGCGTTCGCCCCGAAATGCCTGCAAGTCGCCCTTCGTTTCTCCCCTCCCATCTCCCAACACCCTACCATTCCGCAATTTTCGCTCAATCAGCGCTCTCCGTGCGCTCTCGTTTCCTTCTACCTATTCCTTTTTATCTCTAACCGGAAGCTCTCTGTTTTTTCCCGCAGTTCTGCTTTTCCTATGCTGTTTTTGCCGCCCTAGCAGGCACATGTCTAAGGCGTTTGTTGTGTGTGGATTGAACATGCAACACTTGTTGAAATTGGCCCCCTCGTGTGATTGGGATTTGCACGTCGCCAACTTGCGACACATACTTGCGACGTTTTTTGTAAAAAATTGTGTAAAGACTTGAATGCGTCTGAAAAACAAAACAGAACAACACTTCGGCCGTCAGAACCTTTACAAAGTTAGTTTGAGTTTTCAAGTGGACCCACTAGAAGGGGGGGGGGTCACTATTTTAGCTGCTGGCTTTAAATCAGCTCAAGCATTTTACATTCACTCTGCTATTGAGGTCAAGGGCCCACCACCACTACTCAGACGAGTGCGAGCCTTCCTGAGGTGATCCTAGGGACGATCACTTCTCGATCGCAGCATGGTATGAGAGTGTGAAGAAAGGGCAGGGGACGCGACGAGAGGGCGGCCCACGGGGCGCGCCTCGGGCAGGGGCGACTCGCGCTTCGGTCAGAAAAAAAAAATTCAGTGGTGGGCCCAAGGAAGCGTTCCCACTAGGGAACATGCTCTGATACCATGTGAAGAAATGAGGAAGGAATGGAAGGAAGTGGTTTCACTAGCAAGCAGTTGAGTACATATAGCAAACCCTAAATTGGGCTGTACTCACTATTGAGTACCCCACTGCAGGCTAGACAAACATAACATTCTGACAGAGAGCGACTGAGAAATCTGTCAGAATGTGATGTTTGTCTAGCATGCAGTGGGGTACTCTATAGCGAGTACAACCCGAATCAGGGTTTGCTATATATACTCAACTGCCTACTAGTGAAAACCCCTCTTTCCTGTTTCTGATTCTTGCCTAGTCTTTCGACAAAATCCTTCGCACTGCCACCTTCGAAATCTTCGGCGAACAGAAAATAATAAAATTTGAAAGTGTAACACTTTCTCAAATTTTGTATTGTGAAAGGGGGTACGCGGCCAACACAGCAAAGGTGGCGCCGAAGCGCTACTCACCCTCTTTTGCCTAGAAAAGAGGGTCGTGAGGTCATTCGCCCTCACCCACGTTTTTCATTTCTAGTTGTAGTTTCAATTTCGTTCTCGTCCACACTGGCGAAGACTCAGTCGCTTCCGCGCTTCACTGCCCCGTCGACACTCCTTAACGACATCCTGAAGCGCAACCTCGCGACGATGGCTCTGGTCAACCCGGCACTTAACCGCGACAACTCGAACATTTCAAGCCCCATTAACGCGGCGAAAACCGCAACTCTGGCCGGGACAACGGATCGTCGCGGAAAACGCTCGGCCGAAGAAATTCCAGGCGAGGGACCTTCGGCGGTCGACCTCCTGCTCGGAGGCACCCTTCGGACCCCCCTTGAGGAACCCACGACTGTTGTACAGTCGCGCGTGCCTGCTGCTGAAGAGCGTGTGCCTGACAGGCACGCGCGTGCTGCGCAGAAGACGACGGCCGCCGCTGTCGCGGCAACCGTCTTGACCGCCGCTGACGCGGGTCAAACCGGGCCCACGACCCAGAAGCGCCAGCGCGCGGCATTCTCCGTTGACGTCACCCCGGTCAACACCCCCCTCCCCCCCCCCCCTTTGACTACACAGCAGCTGCAGACATTACTCTCGATATTGCAACAGCATGCATCATCGACTACACCTACATTGACCAAAGACGTTTCTACTTCTGCTAAAATTGAAAAGCAAAAAGAACCTGTCGCGTCCCCCCGCTCCACCAAGGTCGCGCCAACAACGCCGCTCCCGCTCCTGCCCCAGCTCCGGCACCTACCCAAGCCCGTGTCCCCGACGACAGCGACGACTCGGAAAATGACGACGGTGAGGCCCCCGACAACCTTGCCCGCCGTCGCATTCTCGCACCCGCCACCCCCCTTCCTCCCCTCAACCCCACACCCGCAACTACTATCTTCATGCGCAAGGGAGTGCGTGATCAGGCGGAGGTGTTTTCTGCAATTCAAGCTCACATGAGGCACGTCGAGTTCAAGCTCCAACACGGCGACGTCGAGGGCGCGCTCGCCAATGTCGCGCAAGTCGAAACGTTGATCAACAAACGCTTCGAGGTGTTATTGGTGGCGGACGAAGCCGGCTTCGAGGCGGCGGATCGCTTCCAGCTGTACCAAGCCAAGAGCGTACTCACGTCTCGCTCCTACAAGCTCGTGGTAGCCGACGTGACGGCCCTCAAGCGCGCGCACACCGGCTTCTCTCGCGGAGGCCGACTTCCCCCTCGAGATGGCGAACCGGAAAGCAAGGGCATGCCACCCGCGGCCTGCCACGAGCCCCGTTTCAAGGGAGTTTGTTTCCGCTGAGGCCAGCCCGGCCATGTGGCAAACAATTGCTCTATGGGAGGGCGTGGCGCACAAGTCCCTGCACCCGTGGTGTGAGGGGAGCTATGGGGCGGCGCTCCTTGCCACTATGCCGGGCGGCGTAGGTGGATGCACCGGTGGTGTGTAGGCTAATGGGAGGCCTTTAGAAGTAGCATATGCCAGGGGCCATGGAATAAGGCAGCCGTAGGGGCTGGATATGGAATAGGCCTAGGCTATTATGCGTTGTGTGAAGTTGATTAATATAAGAGTTTCTTCAAAAAAAAAAAAAAAAAAAAAAAAAAAGGGGGGGGGGGGGGGGGGGGGGGGGGGGGAGGGCAACAATGAATGTCCCAACTATAAAAAAGCCAGCCCCTCCTCTTAGAGGTGGCAATAAGGAAGGGAGGAGAGGCCAAATATGAGAGCTGAAGCAAGGGCAGAAACAAGAAAGCAAGGAGAGGGAGAAGTTAGAAAAAGAGAAAGGGAGAGCAAGAGAGAGAGAGGGGAAGAGAGAGAGAGAGAGAGAGAGAGAGAGAGAGAGAGAGAGAGAGAGAGAGAGAGAGAGAGGGAGAGAGGGAGAGAGAGAGACAGAAAGAGAGGGAGAGAGAAAGCGAGAGAGAGAGAGGGAGAGAGAGCTAGAGAGCGAGAGAGGGAGAGAGAGAGAGAGAGAGAGAGAGAGAGAGAGAGAGAGAGAGAGAGAGAGAGAGAGAGAAAGAGAGAGAGAGAGGGGGAGGGAGAGAAAGAGAGAGAGAGAGGGAGAGAGAGAGAGAGAGAGAGAGAGAGAGAGAGAGAGGGAGAGAGAGAAAGAGAGAGAGAGAGAGAGAGAGATAGAGAGAGAGAGAGAGAGGGAGAGAGAGAGACAGAAAGAGAGGGAGAGAGAAAGCGAGAGAGAGAGAGGGAGAGAGAGAGAGAGAGATAGAGAGAGAGAGAGAGAGCTAGAGAGCGAGAGAGGGAGAGAGAGAGAGATAGAGAGAGAGAGAAAAAGAGAGAGAGGGGGAGAGAGAGAGAGAGAGAGAGGGAGAGAGAGAGAGAAAGAGAGAGAGAGAGAGAGAGAGAGAGAGAGAGAGAGAGAGAGAGAGAGAGAGAGAGAGAGAGAGAGAGAGAGGGAGAAGTGGCCAGCCGTTAAAGGAAATACGGCGGGAGAAGCCACGGGACCGAGTGAGGCACATGCGTTGCGCTCTTTGTGAGGCGATCCAAAAAAAAAAAAAAAAAAACACCAACAACAACAACAATACCGCACACACACTCAAGCCACAACATAGACAGAGGTTTTATGGCTGACTTGTGGCCAATAGAGGTGTAAAAAAAAAAAAAAAAAAAAAAAGAGGGGGAGGAGGTGAGGGGAAGGAGGGTGACATAGTTCCCCTACACATCGCCCCGCCGGATCCGTGTTTAATCCACCTCGTCGTTTTCCCTCTATTCAACCTTGGTTGCCCGCCACTTGCAGAAGCTGGCAGCGAGTGGCAAGATGTCAGTTGGGACCCATACACGCATGCAATAACGGACAACATGGTGTCCGTCATGCGAAGGCGACTGCGCAACAGCCTGCACTGGTGGCTCTCTTGGTGCGACAGCAGCTTCATCCTTTCCATCATTGCCAGAGGGTATTGGTTACCATGGAAGGGCGAGGAGCCCATCCCTTTCAAGGCCCCCAATCACGCAGGAGTGCAAGCACATATGACCTTCATCCAAGGTGCTGTCCGCGACCTTATCACTTCGGGTGCCGCACTCAAAGTCTTGTCAAAGGCCACATTGGCATGCATTAGCCCGCTCAATGTAGTGGCGCAACGGGACAAATGCCATCTCATACTTGCCCAAGTTTAAGTACGAAGGCTTAGCCTGGGTTGCAGAAATTATCCGCCCAAACGACTGGCTATTTACAATTGATTTGAAGTCAGGCTACCACCATGTTGACATTCACCCATCCCGCTGGAAGTTCTTGGGTTTTCAATATGAGGGAGAATTCTAGTGCTTCACCTCCCTGCCTTTCGGCCTGGCGACATCACCGCTTGTCTTCACCCATCTAATTAAGCAACTAGCTAAGAGATGGCGCGCGCGCGGAGTTCGCGTGATCCTATATGTGGACGACTTACTTTTCCTCTGCAACTCCAAAACCCAAACACGTTCAACGTGCACGGAAGTCCTCCTAGACTTGAAGGCGGTAGGCTTCGTGATCAACGCCAAGAAATCAAACCTGCATCCTACGCACCAATTGCGCTTCTTGGGGATGGAGCTCGATACTGTACGAGGGATGTTTCTCGTCGGGGAAGATCGGCGTGAGCAACTACTGCGTGAGCTCCACCGGCTCATTACAAAAAGCCAGTCAGGCCGACAAGTGCCGATCCGCCAGATAGCTCGGATCACTGGATTCCTCAGCTCCATGTCGCTCGCGCTAGGCACAACTACGCGTGCCTTTAGTCACGAGTTCCTGTGCTTGATCGACTCCGCGTGGTCATGGAACTCGAAGGTCCCGTTGTTACTGGGCGCGACGGAGGAGTTGCTCTTCTGGACGGAGCACTTCGATCACTTCAATGGGGCCCCATTCCACCAGAGCCACCGGTTTGATGCCGTCATCCACGTCGAAGCGAGCGCACACAGCTGGGGTGCCACCCTGACAAAGTTTCCAAGCACGTCATGTGAAGCCAGCGCATGCA